CATTCTACTTTCTTAATCAAAAAGTTGTGTAATACCAAGTTGAAAAGACTGAGAAGAGTGGAAATACACAACTTCAAGACGGTCCCTAAACTAGCGACCACCTCAAAAAAGGCACGAAGCTATTTTGACAAAAGGTTTTCACCATAAACCCACATTGATTAGAGCTAATTATTTTAACCTTTCCTTAATATTTGATTAATCAGATCCTAGACCTGCTGCAATTTCAGATCAATGGCAAGGTGACAGGACAATGAATATTTGGATCACCTGTTTGAGCCTTTAATGAACCAGTATGACACTAGCTTATTTCCTCTTCTCTGGAGCCTCCCCACTGCAAACCAGCATTAGCAGCACAGGGTGCTCCTCTGGATGCAGATTGCATTAGCTTGCTCATTTACGAGTATCCAGCTTTGGTTTTATATCTTCCTTAATTACTGCTGGAACAGAAAGTATTTGTCGTTGCCATACAATACACCACCTGGATTTTTCTCAGAATCCTTCTACTTTTCTGTTTTCTCTCTCGAAACAAAATGAACAAACAACTCCCCCTTTCCCTGCAGTACTCCACCACCACCAACCCCCGAGCAAAGCAAAATCACTTCTCCTCCTGCTTTCTGCCTCTCCTCCCCTCACACGCTTTCTACAGTCCTCAGCTTTTGCTGCACATAAATTCCTATTTGCTTTCGTTTTCTTTCATTTGTTATACATTTTAAGTCTTTTTGTTGATTTTTTAATGTAGTCATAAAAGCACAATTGACTGTAAGGTAGAATATTTTGGGTGTTCTTTTAAGAAATGCTATGAAACACTTCAGAAAAACTAAAAAGAGATACCCAAAGACGACCAGAGAAATATCTAGAGAATGTTTGCACTCAATCAGAGAAATCCATTCAAACGCAAGTAATACCGAGATCAGTGGCATTTCTCAGCTCCATTAAGTATCAGGAAACTTTCAACGCCTAGAAAACATCACTGTAGTTCAAATCAAATTTAGTTTCACTGTTATCCATCTGTCCTGATCTTTCACTATATAGACTGAATATTATTTTCCAAAACACAATTTGCATAGGGATGAATACTTTGCTATGCTGATCAGTCAGGACTGTGCTTCTATAGCTCAGACTTTGAAGTTTTTCAAGACAGGGAAGAATAACACTTTTTTAATAATTCCCCACAGCAGGTAAAGAATGTTATAACTGTGAGTAAGCTTATTAGAGTTACACGAGTCTAATTGATCTGTCCTGGTAATAAAAGACTCATTTTCTTTTGGCAAACCAGAGGTTTTGCACTTGAACATGCAAGAAGTCTATACTTCTTTAAATCTATTACAAATGAAAAAAATCATCTTTGCACAAAGAACCAACATAATTAATTTTAAAATACTGTTTGAGCCATCAGAGAAGGACTTAAAAGGAAATTAATTGCTGGAAAGTCCTTGTGAGGCTCTTCATGCCATAGAACGAAATCTTGGTTTCCCTGAAATCACTAAGAGAGAAATCAATACTCACTATTGAACCACAGGTTTTTAGCTCTTATTATGGCCCACATTGCTTTTTGAATTGCATTGTAACAACAGCTGGATTCAAATTAAAATCATTCTCCCTATTGCTTCACTGAAATAACAGTTATATTGTTCTTTAGTGATCCAAGGGAATAAACCTTATCTTCACTATTAAAAAGGCTGGCATTTTATCAAACAAAAATGTGTGTTGATTCTGGTTTTACTTTCCCTGTAAAAATAATGGCTTATACTTTGATCTTTGAGAAAGAGT